TTCCTGCTGTACGCACCCTGCAGACCTGGAGGTGCCTTCCCCTCCAGCGCGGGTGTCGACATGGGAGAGCCCTCAAGCGCGAGCAAATATAAGCATGATATTAGCTTCTCTGTCTGGCAAACAACCATGAGGTTCACGCCAGCCTGCTGTCCTAGGGATATTGCCCCTACAGCACGAGAAGGACGTTCACTGGAACATTTCAGTGCTGCTGTGGTATAAAATGTAATGAAGCTTTACCAAAAAATAAGCCTAGTTCATTGCACTATTCGGTATTGCTGATCACTTAACGATTGCCAAATACTTATAGCACACTTAGGTAAAATAGTCAATGATCTTTCCACTGCAGTGAACCAAAATAAGTCCTGGGGCTGCAGCATTTAGTGTAGATGTTGCTTATTGCTATCGCTGGTGAGACAACACGGCAGTCAGTGTGCGTTCGCAGGATCACATGCATCCCTGCTAAATAACAAAATAGTAACAACATGAATGTTTTTCCACTGAATGAGTTCTTCAAAGGGAGAAAACAAAAAAAATCTCATTGGAGCTATAGCAAACCGTACTTTGCTCCCCTTCCTCTGCCACCCTACCTGGCAAAGAGGGAGTTTAGCCTCCCCGGCCCTGCACCCATCCACGTGGCCGCGGGGAGAGCTGCGTGTGCGCGTCTCGGCCCTCCTTTAGCGGAAGTCACAGGCGTCACTGCCCCTTGCCGGCGGCGCCCGCGCTGACGTGCTGCCGTTTCTCTAACGTTGCTCGTTTTGCCTTTCAGCTGTTTTCTACACTGCTGCAATCCTTGGGCCTGCAGCGGGTTATCTGGTAGGAGGAATGTTTCTAAATATTTATACTGAAATTGGCAGAGAGTAAGTCACTAAAAAATAATCTTGTTCCTTTTCCTTTATGCTATATGTTTCCTTTGGGGTCAAAAAATCTGGAGGACTGCTAGGTGGAAAGGTGCCCATGGCGCTCAGTGGTGTTTCTCCTGGCAGAGTGCGAGCGGGCCACGGTGGTGGGGGTCGAAGCTCGAGCGGCTGCTTGTGTTAATGCTGTCGCTGGAAGAAAATTGCTCACCAACCTGTCAGCCTAAATCCTTCCTTACGCTGTACTGCTCGCTCTATTTGGGCTATGAGCAGCAGGTGAATTTTTTGAATGAGTTCCCTAATTAGGCAACCCTGCCAACTATGCCACTCTTCCTCCCAGTGATCCAGCCACAACACCTATTCCCTCCTTGTAGGATTTTTACTTGATTGGTTTCTCCTGTTATCTTGCGGTCCCTTTGGCAAATGAATGGGTTAAAAAGGGGGAGTGGGTTGCCGGTGCTTCTTCTGGGGGAAGGAGTGGGTGATCTCCCAGGCTTTCTCCCATAGGATGGGTCTGGGATTGAATGATGATCATAGCAACCCTCAAAGTACCGATGAAGTCTGAAGAGGTGAATGTGCAAACTAGAGATTAAAGGAGGGTTAACTAATGTGATTTCCTGGGCAGTCACTCAGTAAACCTTGTGGTCTCCAGTAAGAGAGCCACATCAGCCCAACGCTCCTTACGTCTTCCTCTGGGAGCTGCTCACGTGGCGGAGGAGTTCACCAGTGCTTTGCCTCTGTTGACATGCAAAACGAACCACAGGTTCCTCTGAACTGAAGGCCCGTCTCAGGGCTTAGTTGCAAGAAGCTATTTGCACAAGTGGCAACCAGGAGGGGGTTTACATCCTGATTTTGGTGTCCCCATGCTCACAGAGGAGGTTGAAGCCCCACACCAGTGCTTTGTCTCCTTCGCTGGCTCCCCAGTGCTCCTCCCAACCTCTGCCAGGATTAACAAGAGGAGAGTCGAGCTCTCCTGCTGTTTCAAACCGCCACCTTTTTCCCTCGTCTCCTTTTCTTGTTTTGTTTCTTATAGGATCGACATCACTCCGGAAAACACGCTCTGGGTGGGGGCATGGTGGATCGGCTTCCTTGGGGCAGGAGCAGCCTCCCTCCTCATCTCCATCCCCATCCTGGGTTACCCTCACCGCCTCCCAGGTACACCTGCCACGAAATGCAGGCTCGCAAGGGAAGGGGCTGGTTTTTCACGGCACTTTGTGTCTCACCTACGCTTTTGTCCAGTCCAGGCTGCTGCAGTTGAGCAGCCGTCAGCTGCTAGGTCCCTCTGGGCAGTCAGATTTGATCAGGCTGTAAATGAGTCCTTGCAAATTAGCTCCTTCACACTGCTTTGGGAAGAGGGGTCTGCCACTGGCACTTAATTAACCGGGACCTCAGAGCAGAACAGTGCGTCCCCGCTTGCTTGAGGTTTGCCTTCTGCTGATGCCCGCCGTGTCCTCATGCTCACATTCAGGCTCGCGTGCCATATGGGCTGTGCAAAAGGGAGAAGGAGCAAGATTCATTTTCCCTGTGGGCTTTGCCCTTCGTGCACATCTTTGGTCTCCCATATGCCGCTGTGATGCCTCTCCTTCCTTCACCCTCTCAGCTTTTGCCTTTTGTTGTCGTTCGCTGCCCACTTGCACAACCGTCGCATTCGCCGGCCGTCCAGCAGATGGGCAGCACGCCGGTTTTGCTCCCGCCTCCCTCCCTTCTTCCGTTTTGTGGTGCGCCCAACTCGTGTGTTGGACACAGGGCAAAGGGGAGGAAGCGACAGGCAGAGAAAGAAGATCTAGTGTTTTAAAGTGTAATTCGTACACTGATCTCACACCTTTGGCTTTCCAGCTACCTGATTCCCTGCTCTTCCGTTGTCCTGTCCCACTAATCATAGGGATTGTGGAGGGAAGAGAGACTTCTTTGAGAGCAGTCTGGTGTGGAGCGCAGAGATCTCCTACGGGCGTGAAGCGTTGTGGGCAGGGTACCAGGCCCTGCTTGCTGATTGCTGGGAAAGAGAGAAATGCCTGGAGGAAAGCATCTATTGGAAAAAAACAGTCCCTCTCTGACAAGGAAGCGCTGCTGAGCAGTAGCCGAGCAGCTGAGTCAGGCTGGCTGGCGGAGGATGTTGTGCTGCATTTTTCCCCTGTGAATTCACTGCTTGCGTAGCATCCGCATCCCGTGTCTCACATGCTTTTTGTCCCTTTCTGCCTCTGGTTTTCAGGATCCCAGCGCTATATCGTTATGAGAGTGTCGGAGGCCCATCAGCTGAAGGACGGGAGCCACAAGAAAGCATCAGATCCTGACTTTGGCAAAACAGTTAAAGATCTGCCTCGGTGAGAAAACCATCCCATGCATGAGGTTCGGGGAACTCTCCCCATAATCGAGAGGAATAGGACCAAGTTCCGCTTGCTTTCTACAACACTAGTTAAAATATTTTGCCCATGTTTAAATATAGCAATGACACTTTTCCCGCAAAGGAGTTTGCAAAGAGCCCGATCCCGTCAGCTGCCAGAGGCTTTCAGCTCATTTTGAATAAATGACATTCACCTCCTCACAGGTCCAAACTGGGCAAAGTGGCTTAAATAGAAGTTCTGACTGGAGATTGCGAGGGGAGACTAGGGAACGAAAGGCCAGTCTTGTCTAGTGTTTTCAGAAGCTCATTTCCCCGTGTGAAGAAGAATCACCTACAGTCATATGCAACACGCTAAGTGTTATGGTGGGTGGCCTAGTGCCAATCTTTAAGTGGTATTATGTGCACAGCTTTAATTCTCTCCTCTCAGTAGCATTATTTCTTCTTGTCTGTTCGTGTCTGGCCTCCCCTGGCACAGCTGGGTGTTGTCCAACATCTCCTCTTCTCTGTCTCATCTGAGCTTTTCTTTCTTTCCTCTTATTTTTGTCTCCTCTTAGCTCCCTATTTTGTCCTTTTAATGAGAAAAGAGAGGGGAAAAAAGGATGAAAATGAGTCTTATCTCCATTTCAAATTCAGGAGGCGAGATATCCTTGATTGTAGCTTTCAATTCCCTTTCTGTTTCGTTCCTGGTTTCCTTTTTTGCCTTTCCATCTTCCAGGCACCTTTTATGTGTTTTTTCTCCTCATATCTCCTGCAAAGCAGTGATACAGCAGCGCACTTGATCACGGGGCTGTGGTATTTGGCTGTGCGGGGTATGCGTGCACCCTTGTGCCAAATTCAGTTTAGTCAGAAGTGGCTTAAAGGAATCCTAGAGCATTGGGTTGGAACAAGCAAGAGACTAAACTAAGGTGCAGTCTTTTAACCTGGGAACACTTGCCATGGATCTTTGAAGTCTTTTATGACTTTTTTTTTTTTTGGTGAGTAGTATTTAAATGGTGGTTGGGGAGAGGTGCTTCTTTGTTTACAGCCTGGTTAACTGAATGTGTAAAGCGTGGACGGTGTAGAGAGACTTTGTGCTACCTGGGTATCATTTCCTTTTGGAAGACAAATCGGCCATCAGTAAGAGGAATTTTTGTTTCTGTACCTCTCCCAGGACTACTTTTAAAGGAAGAACTTGCACCTCTAGGTGACGGCTGTACAACGCAAACATTAAACATTACCAAATTTTTGTGCAGCTGCCAGCAATTATTTTTGGACGTTAGGTGTGATATTTGCTTTTGTACTGACGAAGGAGGACAGAAACAAGTGCTCAGAAGAGTATTTTTCCGCACTAGTCAATCTGTATTGCGTCAAAGCGACTTCTGTCACAGTAAGGAATAGTTTGAAGCTGTTGGAGATTTCGTAGGAAGTTTACTAGGGGTTAAGGCAGTTTTATGAAGAATATTACATTGAACAGATTTCAATACTGTTATTAAATGACATTCTTGACAGGGTGCCATTTTCCAAGGTCATGACTTATTCTCTACGCGGAAATTAAATTCAAAACCTGCATTTAAATAATGATAAGGTTATGACTAAAACCAACACAAACAGGGTAGCTAAAATGGCTGAAATGCAGTGCTTTACGCTTTCCTTGCCTCTCTTGAACAAAGCTCTCAGTGATTCTTGGTGAACGCGTCTGAGTGAAAGGTGCAGAGTTAGCTCATCCTTTGGGAGCGTCTAAATGAGCACCTAGAGGTGGGCAGTGCCACTTATATCAAACAAACGAGTCAGGTCAGTGCAGATCTTAATGTGGTTTTTGGTGTTCTAAAACCTCAGAAGTTTCTCCTCTTTTGAAAGTGAAAACTCAACAGACTTCTGTGTTTCCTGCTTTTGATTAATAAAAGGGGAATGCCTTAAAGGGATGCTATCCTGGAAACTTGCGTTAAAGAGGAGATCACGTATGTGAGCACAGCACTTATGTTCACGTGGACCCGTGCGGAGAACAAGGACAAAGGACACCGTCACTTTTCTTTTAATAAGGGATCAGATGCTGCACATTTTCTCACATTACAGACAGTAAGAGTCCCATAGAAGACAAGCAGACATACCGATGGAATAAAATACTGCTCCATGCTGTCCAGTCCTCTCTAAGAGAGCAGGCATTGCTGAATTCACAACGCTTCTAAATAGCAGGAGCTTACAGGAACGCAGCCGGTACAGCTTAAGCCTCTGCCCTGAAGAGACTTTGGTCTTAATTCTTGGGCTGAAAAGGCCTGATAAAATAGCATCTTCATTTAGCTGATTCTGTCTGCATGCATTTTACTTATTGCGTGCTCCACTCTGGTTGCTTACATGAAATATCCCCTGATGACCGAGCGGAGTGATTCAAATACTGCACACACATAGCCGTGCCAAGGCTGGACAGGAGGGCTTTGTCCTAACTAGATTTATGAGGACCATTGCATGGGTAAAGAGCACCCCTATGTGCCTGTGTGAGTAAAGACTTGCAGGATCCGACTTTTCTACGTAGCAGGATCCCTCTTGGCAGTGCTGAGCTTCCTGAAATCCCTTGGGCTGCGAGGATGAGGACAGTCGAGACTTCGGAAGAGTTAGGCAGTTTCTGGGCATGATTAAAATCCTGCTGATAGCAACAGAAAGATCTGCATTGACTTTGTTAAACTTTTATGTGCAGCAGTAACTCAGCTACATCTATGACCTGCAAACAATAGACTAAATGAAGCAGTCCTTAATCCTAGTGCTGAAAGGAGTTCCTCCATGTTTTTCTACCTGCAAGTTTAGCCCATAACCTTTGGCCAGCGGGGCTCAAAGTCACTCGAGTGCCATGAACTCCTCCCTCTTCTCTTGAACTGTGAATAGGTGGAAGCATTCATACAATTTATATATCAAATACTGCACACACATAGCCGTGCCAAGAGTTCCAGAAAATGCATTTTCTAGCTAAGAGAGTAGGCTTTATGCTTGCAAGTAAAGCACAGTTGAAAAGGTTGGTCCTGGAGAACTGTTTAGTAAATTAAACTAATCCTAGCAGCTAGACAGTGGTTATTATAAAGCCCCCTGAAATCAATGTATAAGAATGTGTGATATTTCTTCTTTCAACTTCTTTATCCTTTTGCTGTAATGAACGTGTCCACTTCACATTAGTAACATCACACAGATCCCTAAAATCCTGATATATCTGACGCTGAGCCTCAGCACGTCTTACACTGACTTGTCCTGCAGTAGCTTTTCTCCCATTTCTCGTTTCCTCCAAAGTAGTAACTGTTATGGGATTCTGATTCCAGCGCAGCGAGCAGCCTGCTGCATCCCTGTTGCTGTCATCGTTGCAGAGCGAACCGTGTTGTTCCAGTTTCTGAAGCAGGACGTTTCGTTGCGGTGCCGAGGGCATGCAAAACTTGGGGAAAGTTACGTGGCAGACTTTCAAGCTAGTTACAAAACAATCCCGGCAAAGCAGTGAAAACCCTCTTAGTCCAATGTCCGAGAGAGTAGAAGATAATTGAGACCATCCCACCTGCCTGAGGGGCTTTCTGTGTCTCAGAGATGGAATCATTTCTGGATCATCTTTCTGCATATAAATGACACAGGGCAATTTTTCAGGGATATCTGTGCGTCTCTATTAAATGCCATTGGGTCAAAAAGAAAATGTATTTGCTCAACTTACACATTAATCTTAAAGTAAAACTGTGCCTAGGTTGTGGGAGAAAAATTACTTTTTTGTTTTCCGGTGGGACGTAAGGTGTCTTGAAGGTGCTTCTTCCATATGGAAAGGCTTGCTTGGTGTTTCCCATGAGTTGCAACACACCCGTGGTTAAAAGAGGTTGTTACTCTCAGGAGTACCTGGGCACACGAGTAACGTGCACATAAATACGAAGCACAACTTTGTTCCCTGGTCTTGGGGACAGACTTGAACACATCAAAATGTGCCGCAGAGATTCAATTCCAGTATATTTGTCCTTGCCAGGTCAGTGCTGCTGCTTCTGAAGAACCCCACCTTCATCTTCCTCTGCTTAGCAGGAGCCACCGAAGCCACGCTCATTGCTGGCATGTCCACGTTTGGACCCAAGTTCCTTGAGTCTCAGTTTAGTTTAAGTGCCTCTCAAGCTGCTACCTTTTTTGGTAAGGAAACCAGTTCTCTGCAGTGTTCCTCTCCGTTTTGCCTACAAACACAAGAGCGCTGCCAGCCAGCTAGAGTGGAAGCAAACACACCTTGCAGCTCATTCACGGTCAGGGTGTTATTTTTAGCTATTAGCTGTTCAGGATCGTTTCCCACCAGCACATCTGTACCAAGTCCATTTTCAGAGCTGTGTCTACTGTCATTAGCAAGAAACATATTGCCTCTGTGTCCGTCTAGGACCCTCAAAAAAAAGGCAAAATAACTTGTAGTCTGTTTCTGCTTGTGCATTACCAGGAATCATTACCAACGGCCTCTAACGAGGACAGTCTGAATTGTGGAACTTATTTAACTGTCACAAGCAAGTTGGATATAGGTTCAGTGGGGGTCTAATAAGCAGTTATTCATGATACGGACCTTAAACAGCCAGTTTTTAGAGCTCTAAAAACTTTGCCTTGCCAAGTTCATGGCATGTTATCTGAGCTACTAGAGAGGATCAGCTGTTGTTGCTTTCTTTGTAGCAAAATCCACTGAACTCTCAGCAAGAAGCAGCCAAAGGGTTATTGTCATGCAGAAACACTGCAGTTAATATATTCAGACACACAGAAACTCCTTGCTGGCATTTCTAAACTTGTTTGTCTGTGGGTTTTTCTTTTTTCAGGTTATCTTGTTGTGCCGGCCGGAGGGGGAGGCACATTCCTGGGAGGATTTCTTGTGAATAAATTTAAACTTCGCTGTTCAGGAATCATCAAATTGTGTTTACTTTGCACAGTGTCAAGTCTGCTGGCTATTTTCATTTTTTTTATTCACTGCCCTAACATGCCTATGGCAGGAGTAACCCAGATGTACGAGGGAAGGTAATAATAATCCTATATGTCTTGTACTGTGTGGCCATGGTCAGAAAATAAGGATAACTCCAAATACACGATGCTAATGTTACTCATGTGTTATAGTGATAGAAGATGTGGGTGATTGATAGAAGATGATGTCGAGTGTGACTGCATAGTCAGTCTCACAGGCGGATACTGAGGGTGAGAGCCATATCCCCAGAGTACAGGTGTCCAAGTTAACGCAATTAATCTGTGTTTATGGAACAGGCTTCTTCGGCAGTCTGGGAGACACCAGCACCGCCAGAGCATGTTTCACTCCACTGTTCAGGTGCTCTCACGAGGTCCCCAGCTGTCTCCGGTGGCTATAAAAATTGCATAGGTTGCTGGTTTAGACTACTGGTGGGAATCTCCTGTCCAAATGGGCATATCCATCTCCTTATGATCTCCTTAAATTCCCTTTGTAGCTGCAGCAAACAGGCACTTCCAGGACACGATTCCTGTTTAATGTTTAAAACCGGGAGACGGAACGTTTCCCCAGCTTGATGTTATGCCTGGCCCATGCCCTCTGGGGTGGCTCTGCACTAGCATCTCCTATCATCCCCCCTTCTCCTCTGATTCTACCCCATTTCCTCCTGGGAAAAGCTGTCTGAGGCCTGACTGCTCCGGTGTTTCTCTAGTGCTTTGCCAGGAGGCCACCTAAACCTGACGGCGGCGTGCAACGCGGAGTGCGGCTGCCTGCGGGAGACTTACAGCCCTGTCTGCGGAAGCGACGGCCTTATGTATTACTCTCCCTGCCATGCAGGATGCAAAGTGTCCAGAAAATTCAAGAGTGGCAAGAATGTACGTCTGCAAGCACTGTGCATTAGCAAGGCAGCAGAACATGCTCTGTAGAGTATTTCGACTGGTCTGCAAATGCCTGTGAAGGTTTGAGTGTGGTTTGGAACCAGCGGAAAAGGCAGAGATGGCCCAGGGAAGTTGGGGGATACTTGAGAGCCGGGCATCACCTGGGAGGACAGGAGAAGGTCCCCTGAGGCTGGGTGATGGGGAGGCACTGGTGACATCCAAGGGCTGCTCGGTAAAGTCCCTTTCTGTTATTTAATAACCTCTGTTGGAAACAGAGGTGCGTCAGGAATGTGGTTTGATTTCTGGATCTCTCCGCTTCAGTAGCCAAATCAAAGGGTTTCCGTGCTGAATTTTTCTGTTTCCAGCCCAGCTGTGACTGTCACAGGGCTCTCCCTGACAAACTGACCGTGGGCATTCGTTCCCCAGGTCTACGGCGAGTGTAGCTGCATTGCCCAAAGCCACCTCTCTGGCCCCGCAGAGGCGGAGGCAGGGAAATGCACCTCCTCTTGTGGGAAAAGGCCCCTGCTCCTCTTCTTCATGTTCATCGTGATCCTCTTCACCTTCCTGAGCAGTATTCCCGCTCTGACAGCAACCCTGCGGTAAGCACGGGATCGCCGCTTCGCGTGCTGGCACCGCAGGAAACCCCCAAAATCCCCATCTCCATTTTATCCCGCTGGCTGCAGCTGTGCGGAGGGTGGGGTGAAAACAACCTGTTCGTAACAGCCTGAGGACCGTGGGACTTCACAGTCTCTGGGAAGGCACATACGAGCGTGTGCAGCTCTGTGCTCTGCGCTCGCGGCGAAGCGATCCGCCAGCAGGCGCCCAGGTGTGCCCGCGGCGGGGA